CGGCCCCATAGAAGTCTATAAAAAATAATTTATTTTAAAAAAAAAATCCATGCAAACTATGAAGACAGAAAACTGGAGCAAACACATACAACATAAATGGAAAATGAAGGGGGGGAGGGCAGCAAAGGTTCACATTTTCATGAGCACCTGCACTTCTAGGGGTTGTGTGCTTGTATTTCTATCATTCTATTTGTGGAACTTGTTTGGACTCGGCTCTCTTTCCTTCTGTGTCCCTCAGGTGTGTGTTCCTTCCAGACAATGGAGCGTTCTTCGTCAACTATGTTATCGCCTCCGCCTTCATCGGTAATGCCATGGATCTGCTGCGGATCCCCGGTCTGCTGATGTACATGATTCGCCTCTGTCTGGCTCGATCTGCGGCAGAGCGCAAAAGCGTCAAGCGGGTATGAGGATCTCCCGGGGGGTTAAACCTTTATAAATAAGAGACTGGACGTTCATCCTGACTGTCCGCGATTGTGTCAGCCTTCGTTTATTTCAAGTCCTCTATCTGTTACTGGAAAAAAAAAACTGATTTTATCATTAGCTGGACATGTTCTGTTGCATTAGCTGGACATGTGCTGCCTTTGTCACAGATAGTAAATGTTCCTCTTGTCTGTCCTGCAGCATCAGGCCTATGAGTTCCAGTTTGGTGCGGCATACGCGTGGATGATGTGCATTTTCACAGTGGTGATGACCTACAGCATTACGTGTCCCATTATTGTCCCATTTGGTGAGTGACCCTTTCCCTGACACTGTTCTCTACCAGGACTGGGATTGGTTTAGGGGACCAAAGGGGTTTTATGAATGATAAGGGAGCCACACATCTGACACTGTTCTGTGCACAAGGCCAGGGTTTCCTTTTAGGGTTTGGTCAGTGTTCAGTTGGGTTTGGGGGGTCACACATCTGACACTGTTCTTTACACGAGGCTAGGGTTTAGTTGAGGTTTAGGGACACCTTATTCTGTTTTGAACTAGGGTTCAGTTAGTATTTGGGTTTTGCGAACCATGATGGGCTCACATATCTGACAATGCAGTTGATAACCCGAGTGAAGAATTATTTGGGCAGATATGAGAACGGGTTGCCATATATGTCCCAATCCCACCTTCTTATGATGCACGGGTGTACATAGGGCTGATCTGAGTGCTTTCAACCACCATAAACACTTATTAAAGTATCAGTACAGCATAAAAATTGGTGTTCAATCCTCCATGGGACCAAGTGCATGTTGTACTTGGCCCTGTACCGATCTGTGGCTGCGTTGTGCAATATCCACTCCACCCCAGGCTGAAGCCCAGTCTATGGCTGTTCATATAGGTGAATTACAACACAGCACTGTAGCCACGAGCTCTCCGCTTGTGTTTTTGATCCATGCCGACCCCTCTTCCTGCTGTAGTGAATAAAGGCACTGTAGCCACCGCCGCTCTTCTCCAATTGCTAGCACTTTGCTTGTGTTGTGATTTGCACCGCCCTGATTATGGCTTGCTGCTAGAGATCAGCACGGTCACGCACACCCCATTGGCTATTTGTCTCCCGCCTAGTAGCATGGTCAAAAAGGGGGTGGTGGGGGGTGAGCTGTCGATCACACTAGCTGAGCAAGCATAGCATGGGTCAGAATGGGACCAAGTGCTACATTCACTTGGTCTTCTAGGGATTCCACTCTTTGTGTTATTTGGGTTATTTTTCAGCTCATTTTTCAGTACTCTGCATGACCTAGCTGATCCTCCCTTCTCATCAATGAAAGAAGGTGGGGAGGGGGCAGGGAGGATATCCCCAAATATATAGCGCTTTAGCTCTCCCACAGTAATGCATAGAGCAATAATGATTCTTCCCTACTCCAAAACTAAAGAGCAGAAAAGGGTATTGCCTGCAGCTTCATTTTTGAACAAACCAGATATTCAATAATGGGCAATTACAGATAACATTGATCCTAGTAGTTTGGGCACTTTTAAAACTCCCTCTAAACAGTGTTTACTCCCAGTTCTGTGTTCTGTCCAATCACAGGCCTGATGTACATGCTGCTGAAACACTTGGTGGATCGCTACAACCTATACTACGCCTACCTACCTGCCAAACTGGACAAGAAGATCCACTCGGCAGCGGTGAGCCAGGTGGTGGCGGCCCCCATCCTTTGCCTCTTCTGGCTGTTCTTCTTCTCCACCGTGAGGACCGGTGAGTGCCAGGAGTCCTTCACACCTTGAAATGTGAATGTGTTCTGAAATCCGTGCTTATTTCTTGTGTTGTTCATGTAAATCCTCCCAATTCATATATGTGTAGGAAACATGTTCATTCTTCATCTTATCTGACGGGTAATTACCCTTTCAGTATACATCACACTTTTTGTACAACCACAACCCAGATCTTCCCTGACCAGCCTGTCCAGGACTGTGCAGCCTTTGGTCAGCTGTCAAAGTGACAGATGGACTTTCTGCTTAAGGCTGTGTACTGCGAGCAGGCCCCAGAGTGAAGATCATAGAACAGCAAGGTTGGGATACTATACAGGCATCACTCAGATGTGATTTATTACCCCTTTTATAAATGCCATCTGAGTCATGCCAGTATAGTATTGTCCCTTTTATAAATCACATCGGATGATCGGAGTGATACCAGTATAATATTACCCCTTTATAATCACATCGGATGATCGGAGTGATACCAGTATAATATTACCCCTTTATAATCACATCGGATGATCGGAGTGATACCAGTATAATATTACCCCTTTATAATCACATCGGATGATCGGAGTGATACCAGTATAATATTACCCCTTTATAATCACATCGGATGATCGGAGTGATACCAGTATAATATTACCCCTTTATAATCACATCGGATGATCGGAGTGATACCAGTATAATATTACCCCTTTATAATCACATCGGATGATCGGAGTGATACCAGTATAATATTACCCCTTTATAATCACATCGGATGATCGGAGTGATACCAGTATAATATTACCCCTTTATAATCACATCGGATGATCGGAGTGATACCAGTATAATATTACCCCTTTATAATCACATCGGATGATCGGAGTGATACCAGTATAATATTACCCCTTTATAATCACATCGGATGATCGGAGTGATACCAGTATAATATTACCCCTTTATAATCACATCGGATGATCGGAGTGATACCAGTATAATATTACCCCTTTATAATCACATCGGATGATCGGAGTGATACCAGTATAATATTACCCCTTTATAATCACATCGGATGATCGGAGTGATACCAGTATAATATTACCCCTTTATAATCACATCGGATGATCGGAGTGATACCAGTATAATATTACCCCTTTATAATCACATCGGATGATCGGAGTGATACCAGTATAATATTACCCCTTTATAATCACATCGGATGATCGGAGTGATACCAGTATAATATTACCCCTTTATAATCACATCGGATGATCGGAGTGATACCAGTATAATATTACCCCTTTATAATCACATCGGATGATCGGAGTGATACCAGTATAATATTACCCCTTTATAATCACATCGGATGATCGGAGTGATACCAGTATAATATTACCCCTTTATAATCACATCGGATGATCGGAGTGATACCAGTATAATATTACCCCTTTATAATCACATCGGATGATCGGAGTGATACCAGTATAATATTACCCCTTTATAATCACATCGGATGATCGGAGTGATACCAGTATAATATTACCCCTTTATAATCACATCGGATGATCGGAGTGATACCAGTATAATATTACCCCTTTATAATCACATCGGATGATCGGAGTGATACCAGTATAATATTACCCCTTTATAATCACATCGGATGATCGGAGTGATACCAGTATAATATTACCCCTTTATAATCACATCGGATGATCGGAGTGATACCAGTATAATATTACCCCTTTATAATCACATCGGATGATCGGAGTGATACCAGTATAATATTACCCCTTTATAATCACATCGGATGATCGGAGTGATACCAGTATAATATTACCCCTTTATAATCACATCGGATGATCGGAGTGATACCAGTATAATATTACCCCTTTATAATCACATCGGATGATCGGAGTGATACCAGTATAATATTACCCCTTTATAATCACATCGGATGATCGGAGTGATACCATTATAGTATTGTCCCTTTATAAATCCCATCTGAGTCATGCCTGTATAATATTGCCCCTTTTATAAATCACATCGGATAATCGGAGGGATACCAGTATAATATTGCCCTTTTATAAATCACATGGGATGATCGGAGTGATACCAGTATAATATTGCCCCTTTATAAATCACATTGGATGATCGAAGTGATACCAGTATAGTATTGTCCCTTTATAAATCACATGGGATGATCGGAGTGATACCAGTATAATATTGCCCCTTTATAAATCACATTGGATGATCGAAGTGATACCAGTATAGTATTGTCCCTTTATAAATCACATGGGATGATCGGAGTGATACCAGTATAATATTACGCCCTTGTAAATCACATGGATAATGCCTAGATAATCTTACCCCTTAATAAATCATATCCGAGTGATGCCAGTATAGTATTACACCTTTTATAATTCTGAGCTCACATGTAGAACAACTGTAGGATCTGCTCTGTGGAGACCACAATGGAGATTAGGAGAGGAATATAAGACAAGGAAATGAATTGAAGACGAGGAAGGTGTCACCCACAAAGACAGTTCAGGAACGCTTGGCTTGTTTAGTTTGGAAAGCTTTATTTAATCTAATGAATAAATAAATCCGGTGCTATTACAAAGATTTGGCAGGTGAGCTTTGCCCAAGAACTGCACAATGGACAGGAGGCTCAGCTGTATAGGGAGGATGAGCAGTTCTGCCCTGGGGCTGGAGTCACACTTTTGTGTTTTGCTATTTTTCTGTTTTTGGATTTTCTTGCCTGGAAAAAAAAATGTAAAGTCTCTGCTGATCAAACACTGTAATGATTAATTAGCATTTCTTTTCTTTGCGCCCTGAAACGCAGTTTTGCGCAGTAAAAATTATTTTTCCAAAATGCGGCGCAATGCAGAGACACCTGTAGAGTCACACGCCGGCTCTACGTATTGGGGAGAGTACATTTTTACTCTCCCCAATACGTCTCCTATAAGTGCAAGTTCACGAGACAGTGCCAACTTCCACTCAAGGTGAATGTGGACGCCCCCCACTTCCTCAAAACAGGAAGCCATGTGACCATGTATGTACAAGGGACTGATGCACTTATTTTATATATGATAGGCATTTGTATATTGCCAACAATGTATGCAGTGCTTTATTAGTCCATGTTTACAATCTCATGTCCCTATGTCATACACACACTATTAACACACAATTAACCTACCAGCATGTCTTTGGCATGTAGGAGGAACCCAGTACCCAGAGGAAACCCACATGAGCACAGGGAGAACACGCAAACTCCTTGCAGATAGTATCCTGGCCTGGATTAAAACTGAGGACCCCAGTGCTGCAAGGCCGGAGTGCCAACCACTGAGCCACCGTGCTGCCCCATGTGCTCGTGTTCTAGTGCCCAGTGCGCTCTGTTGTCTGTCCTGACTCTGAGTTGTTTGTTTTTCACACGGTTTTTATTTGTCTTTCCAGGTTTCCTGGCTCCCACCTCCATGTTCACGTTTGTGGTCCTGGTAATCACCATCGTTATCTGCCTGTCCCACGTCTGCTTCGGCCACTTCAAGTACCTGAGTGCCCACAATTACCGGGTGAGCTCTGCTCCTCTCCTCGTGTGTCTTTTATGGACTCTCCCGCTGCCTGCGCCCCTGAACGCGGCTCTAAAGAGAAACCCTGAACTTAAAGTCTGTGCAGAAACCGACACCTCTGGAGTGTCAATCTCTCGTGTCCCCCACTTCACACTGTGGCTCCTCTCACCAACCCGGGAGGAACCATTGAGTTTGACACAGAACATAAGATTGACACCTGCACAGACTTATCATAGCTTCTCTTTAGAGCAGTGTTCTGGACGCAGGCAGAAGGGGAGGCAAGTCTAATCTCCTTTTCAGATGCAGCTTGTGATCTCATTTTTATTTAAAGGCCATCTCTGGTCAACCCCTGTAGCCCACCCTGCATGTTTTTTTACCTTATGAAGCAAGATATACTTGCCTAAGTCCGCCACCCAGGTCCCTCGCCGGCACCATTTCCAGGTGCAGTGGATCACTGATCCAGCACTGCAGATGGGCCTGCGACGGTTGGTTCCCTTGTGCTGGTGTCATTCCTGAAAGGGCCCCGCCGCTGGACAGCCAAAAGGAAGTGCCCATGTCATGCAGTCGGGGATGTGAAGACCTGAAGAAGGACCCCACCGCTGACATCACTCCTTTTTTTGCAACCTGAGAGGAGCCCTCCACTGACATCACTCCTCTTCTAGATCCTGAGAGAACCCCCCTCTGCTTGACAGCCAATAGGAAGTGTCCATGTCACAGAGGCAGTGATGTGGACACCTCAAAAAGGCCCCTAGAACTGAAATCACTACTTTTTGGCATGCTGAAAGCAAACTGCCACTGGGCCGCAAATAGGACCCTGACTCTGAAATTACTCCACTTCTGGGTCCTGAGGGAAACCCGCCGCTGGACAGCCAATAGGAAGTGTCCATATCATGCAGCCAGAGATGTGGACATTTGAAGAAGGACCCCTGTGCTGACATCAATCGTTAATTGGATCATGAAAGGAACCCGCCGCTAACATCTCTGCTCTTCTGGGTCCTCAGAGCAACCGATCGCTGGACAGCCAATAGGAAGTGTCCATATCATGCAGTCAGTGATGTGGGCATCTGAAGAAGGACGCCAGTGCTGACATCACTCCTTTTTTGGGCCCTGAAAGGAACCTGCTTCTGACATTACTGCTCTATATCCTGAGAGGAACCCACCATTGAACAGTCGATAGGAAGTGTCCATGTCATGCAGTCAGTGATGTGGACATCTGAAGAAGGAACCCAGAACTGACATCACTCCCCTTCTAGATCCTGAGAGGAACCCGCCGCTGGACAGCCAGTAGAAAGGGCAAAGGTCCCCACCGACTATAAACCGAAGACTCTGGATTAGAGAGTCATGTGATGGCAGCTTTAGGTAAGTAAGAAGGGCATGTAGGTAGGTTTTTCGGTTTTTGTTCTAATGCCATTGATCGGTTAGAGCGAGCAGCGGATGTTAGGGGAAGATAGGGGGAGCCGGACCTTTAAGCAACAGTCACTATCATGTCCCTGACAGTCCTCTTTACATTGTACTGTCCCACTAAGTCATAAGACTGGCGCTGAACCCGTCTCTCATCATTCCCTGTTCTCTCCAATCAGATCGATCACACAGAAGTGAACGCTGTGGACGGAACACAAAATGGCCGCCCATCCACTAATACAGCTTCTCAGAAGTCGGCGGTAAGTCTTATGTCTGCATCCTTTACATCCAGGTTCTAAAACCAATAAAAATCTCCTCCTTGTGGCAGTTTCATACAATTTATGCTCAGATACTGCCAGAGTCCTCACCCTCCTGTTCCTGTAATCAGCTCACCGTCTTTCCTCATTTACACAGGGATTGAGTGCAAATCCCAGGCAGCCGTGGAATCTGGTATTCCTGGTGTTCTCCGTGGTGATATGCTGCCACAGAGTAGTATACATATGAAGTGTGTGCATTGTCGCCAATTACAACACAGGGGGCTGATCGTGTGCAATCACTCCACTTAGCACTCATTTAGAAAGATTTCAGCTAGTACACTGAAATGGCCCATCTCCGTATGTACACAACAGAAGCAGTCAAGAATCTGCAATACATTTTTCTATTTGTTAAAGTAGAATTAAACCCCCAAAAAGAGAAAACGTTCCCTCTAGTTCCACTTGAATCATTGATTTACTATAGTAATTTTGCACCAAACATGTGCGATCCAGATGCTTTTGTTGTCTGTTCACTGGACTTCCAGTCAGAGAGCGTTCACCCTTCACATCCGCAGCCATGTTGCTTGCTCAGGATGGTAGATAGAAGGTAGCTGCTGTCCATCACTGGCCTGGTGGGAGCGGCTGGGGAGTGACTGAGGGCAAAGGTTTTCAGTGCTGCCCGTGCTGGAGCCTGGTCAGGAGCATGCATATTACACTGGGGCTCCAGCAAAGGGCAGCGTAGCCACCCTATAGGAGGAAGTATAGTAGGCATCAAAACGGATGCTGCTGAAAAGAAAGGATGCAAGGCTGGGAGGGAGCTGCTGCCAGTCACGGGCCCGTTGGGGGGAGGAGAAGGAAGATCACTTGGAGCAATGGCTCAGGAGGGCAGTTGGAACAGACCTGCTGTCACTCAGTGGCCTTGTGGGAGGAGCAGGGGAGTGACTTATATCAAGGGACCAGGAGAGTACAGTAGTTGGAATAGACCTGCTGTCACTCAGTGGCCTTGTGGGAGGAGCAGGGGAGTGACTTGTAAAGGACTCAGGAGGGTACAGTAGTTGGAATAGACCTGCTGTCACTCAGTGGCCTAGTGGGAGGAGCAGGGGAGTGACTTATATCAAGGGCTCAGGAGGGTACAGTAGTTGGAATAGACCTGCTGTCACTCAGTGGCCTTGTGGGAGGAGCAGGGGAGTGACTTGTAAAGGGCTCAGGAGGGTACAGGTATTCACTTAACAACCGAGTTCCGTTCCTACGACCAGGTCATTAAGCGAGGAACTGTATAACTGCATTAGTACAGTACTGTATAGTGTTGTAGATGTACAGTACTGTACAGTGTACTGTAAATGGGTCAATAAAGTACTTACCGAGACCCGCAGTGGAGAACGGAGTACAGCACTTCCGCCGGCGAGACGTCGCACTGCCTCTGCCACGTTCCCACACGTAAGGTCGGAGAGCTGGTCGTAAGTGCGAGAGGTCGCAAAGCAGGTAAAGTGAGGAATATCTGTAGTTGGAATAGACCTTCTGTCAATCAGTGGCCTTGTGGGAGGAGCAGGGGAGTGACTTAGAACAAGGGCTTCAGTGCTGCCCATGCTTGAGCCCAGCGGGGAGCATGCACATTAAGGTGGCTACACTGGGGCTCCAGAGAGGCCCCGGATGGCAGCACAGCCACCCTTTCAGAGGAAGGCATCCAATTGGATAGACTGCTGAAAAGAAAAGATGCACAAAAAACGTAATGGTGATTACGAGGCGTCAATGAATTCTGCTTTTTCCCCTGAGGGTTTAATAATACTTTAACAAAACTGGAATTTTACTTTAAATCAAGACGTAGGAGCGTTCCAGATGCCAGGCCCGGCCTTGTGGAGTGATTTTCTCTGAGCTTAGCAGGGTTCTTTGCTCTGATCTCGGACCGGGGTCACCTAACATTTGTTAGGATGGGGGCAATAGCAGGCAAGGCTTCGGGACCCTCGGGTGACATTTTATCCTACAGCTGACCCGTGTCCTTTTTCTCCTCCTAGAAATACATCGCTCAGGTCCTCCAAGACTCTTCAGCGGACAGCGAGCCGGCAGGGGACAGCGAGGAACCCGGCTCCCAGGACGAGGAGATGATCAACGCAGACAATACGCAAGATGCCGAGTTCCAGTCATGCGAGGACAGTCTCATCGAGAACGAGATTCACCAGTGACATCAAGCGGAGGAGAGAGGAGCGTAATACTGCACATACTACAAACACTCCCATCTCCTCTGCCCTGTACCCGGGGACCCAGGCCCTCCCATTTCTGGGGGGGGCTCCCGTCAGCCTGCGTGCTAGGAAGCCGGTCCCCTATAGACTGACAATGTCTCGGGCCGTCCGCTCGCCTGCTGCTCTCTGTACAGTATACGGACGAATATTTGGTGTTTGCACAGACGCTGCCTGCTGTCTATGTTCTGTGTTAGAGGAAATCATTGCACTCCTGCTGTCTGCTCTGTTTTTGTTTTGTGATTTTAAGCTATTGTGGAAAACTACTGCTGCTCCATGAGGGCGGGCACTGTGGGCATCGAGAGAGGCTGGCACGGTGGGTGAGCACTGCGACCGCATGTTGGAGGCTGGTACTTCACGCGAGGCATGCACTGGAGCCTGGCACTGCTGTGTCAGTGTATACACTTGTAGTATGACAGTACGATACTGTTATTGTCACGGGGATAACATTCAAATCTATATCCTAGCTGCTCCGGTGTTCTATATCGGAACTTGGTGGCACTTTATTTCTGTCCATCTGCTCTTGCACTCGTCACAAATTCTGAGACCGGCATTCACGTGGGTCTAAACACGCTCGTAGATCATCTTCCCAACTTGAGGATTCTCAGCAAGGTCCCAGAATTGGCTCTCTTCCTCATTATACTCCCGACTCCCCCGGATACCAGCTAGGCCTGTAATAGTCAACGGAAGAAACACATCAGGTATGTTGCTGGGTTCCCCCAAATAGCAGCAAGGCCTTTGATGCGTTCAACTCATGAAACATGTTGGGTACCAGTGAGAAAGTCAACTGTAAAAAATGGGTCAGAAATGGTACTGGGCTCCCCTTGGTGCCAGCGAGGCCTGTGGTTAGGCCAACTGATGAAACGCGTCGGATATGCTTCTGGCTCTGACGTTATTTTGATAGTAATTACATTTTTAATAAAATATACTACCCAAGGGATATCACTTTCCTGTCAATGTTTGCATCACCACTACTGTGGAAGCGACATTCCATATGTAGAGTGGGATCCCACGCAAGCTGTGCAAAAAGACAGTATGGCTGCCACAGAAGATAGGAGACGATCCTCCTTGCTGGTAAGGGAGCGTCCGTGTCCGCTGGGAGTGTAAGGAGGGACCGAGGTGGTTCCGGGACCTTGCTGAGAATTGGGGGGCTGACCTGCAAGTATGAATAGACCCCCCGAATTGTCTGAGCACTTATGAGTGTAACAGCCGATGTGCTGGAACCAAGTGCCATGGAGTTATAATATACAACGTTGGTGCGGATTTGATTTAATTTGATTTGCATTTTATCCAAACCCAGGAGTGAGTGTAAAGCTGCAGTGTACATACAGTGATTGGCTGCGGCCATAAGTGCGGGAGGAGCGCAGTGCAAAGACTGAATAATCACTGGAATAAGCTATGGGGTGTGCGTGTCCCGGGATAAAAGGGTGTGATGGAGACGACAAAATCAGAACAAGAAATTGTATTTTTTTTATTGTGTGATAGGAGGTGGGCAGTGCAGAGTGTGTGTGGTAGTATAATGATGATTACAAGTTCTGTGTGAGGTGAGGCGGGGTGGGTAATGTAATGCGTGCAGATTACGTGTAGCAGCGTGAGGGGGGGGGATGTAGTGTGTACACATTGTGGTGTAGCGCAGTGTGTGATATAATGATACACACTACACAGTGATGGGGTTGTATGGGATACACAGTGATGTGGTGATGGGGTTGTATGGGGATACACAGTGATGTGGTTGTATGGGAATACATAGCGACGGATGATGTGTGTCGGTGTAGTGCGGCGTTTTGGTGCGTTTGGTTTGTATTACATCTTTTAGTGTGTTACATTTGGATGCGTTTTTTGCAGTTTTAGTCTTCTCTTCTGCTGTACTGTAGTGGACACTTTGCCAGCCTCTGAGATGGAACAGCGCCCCCCCTCTGGTGACACTAAACCCTCCCCTAACAGAGCGGGACTCTACTACGTATTCAATGATTGATGCTGCATTGCACACACCTGGAGCCGCTATCCTCTCCTCGGCCTCCACTTACCCACCATGGACCTCCTGGGACGATGGTTCTTCTTTCTCTGCCGGCGGTTTTCACAGCGGACTACTACAATGCCGCCGGTGGCGTCCCCGGGGATGGAAGCCACTCTGGGGGGACAATGGACCTACAAGGCAATCGGCCTAATCGGGACTTGTTTAACGGCGATGAGTTTGTACGTTGGCGTCACAGCAGCCCTAAGACTGTGTCAGACCCGAGCGTCTTTTTTTCTTCATAGCGGCTTTCTGAGTGTAACTCGTGAGACATTTAGCGGAATAACCTAAAATGAGGACAGACCCCTCCCCCTGGGTGGAGCTTCACGATGTGCTGGTCGCGATGTTTCCGAGAGGTAGCCGGGACGTACATAGCTCTCTATGTTGTAGATTATATATATATATGTCACCCGGCATTATGCGATCCATCCGCCGTCACCCGCCGCATGGGTTGCGGAATCCGCAGAGTGACGCAGCCTGACCCGTCTCTGCGCCATGTAATGTCATTCCACCACTGACCCGTGTCCCTGTACTGACGTGACTTCTGCACTACTGCCATTAAACAACAAATTGGTTTCTTTTATTTTATTTTGGGGTAGGATTTATTCTTTATTGCTGGGAAATACGTCTTTCTCATTTCAGATGGTCGCACCTCGGGGCCCCCCAAAAATTTCCGGGGGCCCGGCTTTTTTTTTTTTTTTAATTTATTTTTAAAACGTATATTTATTGAGTTTTCAATGATGTTGTATCATGTAAGCGCAAATAAACCGCAGATATGTAACCATGGCGGGTACGGTCAGATAACATCTCCGTCACGTGTGGAAGCGGGGGGGTCTGGGCAATGCGGAATCACGTGTGGGAGCGGTTCTGTATTCATTTGTATGATGCAAAGAAATGTGACCATCACTTATAACCAATAAAAACTTTGATAGACAACCACAAAAAATAAAAAAAACGTTTCATCTTCAGAAACCACCTGCGGGGGCCACGTGAAGGCGGGAACCTTAAAGCTGAACTCCGCTGAGAGGATTTCAACACAGTGGCTGCCTTGCGTGTCGCAGTCTTGTATTGTTCTTGTAAGGTAGCGGGTTCCAGCAATGAAGACCGCTCACTGCCAGACCCTCTCTGTTAGCGGGGGGACTGGTCATGTGACCGCCTCTTGTTCTAGTAAGTCGGCGCTGGTGTACTTACCCTTCAGTGCTATAAGGTAGCGAGTTCCAGCAATGCAGACCGGTCACTGCCAGACCCTCTCTGTTAGCGGGGTGACTGGTCATGTGACCGCCCCTTGTTCTAGTAAGTCGGCGCTGGTGTACTTAACCTTCAGCGCTATAAGGTAGCGAGTTCCAGCAATGCAGACCGGTCACTGCCAGACCCTCTCTGTTAGCGGGGTGACTGGTCATGTGACCGCCCCTTGTTCTAGTAAGGCAGCGCTGGTGTACTTAACCTTCAGCGCTATAAGGTAGCGGGTTCCAGCAATGAAGACCCTCTCTGTTAGCGGGGTGACTGGTCATGTGACCGCCGTCTAAGGCAACGCTGGTTTACTTCCCCGTTCATAGCACTACAGGGTTGCGGGTTCCAGCAATGAAGACCAGTCATTGGCAGACTCTTTCCATGAGTGGGGTGACTGGTCACGTTACCGCCCTCTTGTTCTAGCAAGGCAGCGCTGGTGTACTTACCCTTCATAGCGCTATGAGGTAGCGGGTTCCAGACTGGTCACTGCCAGACCTTCTCTGTTAGCGGGGTGACTGGTCTTGTGACCACCCTCTTGATCTAGTAAGTCAACGCTGGGGTGCTTAGGTCGGTGTTGCCTGGATTGTATCCCTCCTCCCGAGTGCTCTTGGTATCAGCTGCTTTCAGTCCCTGTACAGTAGAGATCGGGGGGGGCGGGACTCATCAGTCTGCTGTTTCTCCTTTCAGGGAGCAGACATGTAAGTAAAAGTGAAACAGCAGCAGAGAAAGTTTAGGTCCCCTCCCCTGCTGGGCAAGGCTGTGTTAATCTCAGGACTGGATGGACATAAATGCAAATCCATCGATGGAGGAATGAAGAAGAGGTCTGTCCAGCCTCAGCATGGAGGACGTCATAGAGGTGAAGATATTATTTGTATAAATCTATCTCTGCAGCCTCTAATGGAGGTTCTTGTGTGGAGTCTTCCTGCTGCCTTCCCCTCCGCCCCGGGGAATCATCCCGCAGTGTGAGCAGTAGTTGTAAGGTATTAGTATCAGGACTCCTGCGCTCCCACATTACACACATACCTGCACAGGGAGGGGCCCCCGTCCACAGGAGACGGCTCGGCCACGCTGCAAATTTTGTGTCAAAAGCTGAGAAACCAGTTCTGTGCCGTCCCATCCTGAGCTGAAGAGGCAATGCCGGATGTGTGCGGGCCGGAGGAGCGCCCCCGGGCCATCCCTGTCTATGCAATCCTCCATTCCAAGTCCTACACCCTGGTCAATGTTACCCTCCATCCTACCAACTACCCCTCCCCCCTTCTAATCCATGTAACCCTCTATAATACCCCTTCTCCCTGGTCCACGTAACCCTCCATACTACCCCCTCCGACCTGGTCCATGTAACCCTCCACCCTATACCATACACATTACCCCTCCCCCAGGGTCCATGCAACCCTTCATCCCAACCCTTCCACCCTGGTCTGTGTTACCCTTCATTCTACCCTCTCCGACCTGGTCCAGGTAACTCTGTCCCAGTTGGTGTAACCCTCAATCCTACCCTATCTGCACCCTGGTCCATGTAACCCTCCATCCTACCCCCTCCACCCCGGTCTGTGTCCCTTGTCCCTCCACCCTATACCAACCACATTACTCTCTCCCCCCGGGTCCATGCCACCCACCCCTTCCACCCTGGTCTATGTTACCCTTCATTCTACCCTCTCCGACCTGGTCCAGGTAACTCTGTCCCAGTTGGTGTAACCCTCAATCCTACCCTATCTGCACCCTGGTCCATGTAACCCTCAATCCTACCCCCTCCATCCCGTGACCACATTACTCCCCCATGCAACCCTTCTCCCCCTCGACCCTGGTCTGTGTTACCCTTCATTCTACCCCCTCTGCTCTGGTTCATGTAATCCTCCACCCTTTCCTTTCTGCATCCTGGTCCCTGCAACTTTATGCCCCAGTCGGTGTAACCCTCCATCCTGCCCTATCTGCACCATGGTTCATGTAACCCTCCGTCCTGCCCTATCTGCACCATGGTCCATGTACCCCTCCATCCTGCCCTATCTGCACCATGGTCCATGTACCCCTCCATCCTGCCCTATCTGCACCATGGTCCATGTACCCCTCCATCCTGCCCTATCTGCACCATGGTCCATGTACCCCTCCATCCTGCCCTATCTGCACCATGGTCCATGTACCCCTCCATCCTGCCCTATCTGCACCATGGTCCATGTACCCCTCCATCCTGCCCTATCTGCACCATGGTCCATGTACCCCTCCATCC